GGTCGGAACAGCTGTCCAATGCTCCCCAGGTTCTCAATTCACACTTCATTTGCTTTATACGCGACGAATACACTTTTGAAATTGAACCAAATCCTCCATTACTCACTTGAAATTAACCAAAGGTTGAGATGTGTGCAGTAGCCTACTTATCGCTTATATAGTGAGTAGCTAGAGGTTTATCGGTAATAGCATTCCAGTTGGTTGAGTCCTTCTCTAAATGAATGTATAATGAGTGAGGATTGTACCTGTTGAAGATCATCATAAGCGCGTTCTTTTTCTTCGTGTCCCTATCAGCAATCGAACCACAAATATTCGGCTTTTGGAGTGTCAAAATCGTTACCCATGAGGAGATGTACGCATGAGTGTAACAAATGCACGTTTCTTGCATATACCGTGCGAATTCAGAAATAACCGAATCTGTCTAATGTTGCTATTTGGACTGGTGTCTATGCCCACGTATGGGCAGCGTATGAAATAATATAATTCAACTAAGTTTCTTTTTGAGTGAGAAATCGAATAAACCCGAAGGTGCGCAGGTATCTCATTATAACCATCAACCTTGATGAAAATGATTGAATATAACAAACATTTTTTCGGTGTAGTCATTTTTGTTTTTGGTACATATATTTCTCTTCTATATTTCTCGTTCTTAAGTTGAATAGCTATTTAAATTGTTCGTTTAGTCATATTAAACTGTGACACCAGTGTCTGAAGTGCACAACGTTACAAATGTACATAACACATTATCATAGTTGGTTCTAATCAAACTGAATAATGGCTAAACGCAATGCAGTAGGGGGAATCAAGACTGTAACAGATTTACACAAATTCAGACGACATTTACGTGCATGTGGTCTTTCCCCAAAACGCGTATACGAGTGGAGGATGGAAGGGAGTGACTGCATAGACAATGGAAAATCATCCACAATTCAATGCACACGTACACAGATTTGGTGTATCTATTGACTTCCAATGGATTCTGGCGCAGAACTATTGTCCGGGCTCCATTCGATCAACAGACGGTTGTTCGGCCTGTGACTGCGGTATACCCGTTGTGGTGCTTGACTGGGTAGGGTATTATGTTCCACCGAACCAGCTGTAGATCTGAGAGAAGAGGGTCGCGACCATTTCTCCGGATTTGGTGCACTTCTCAATGGTTTGTTCCACCGTGGTGGAAGTTGACCGCTTGTGGGTAACCCGACAGACGGGCGACCGGAGTACAGCCGATCGTGAATTATGGGCGGAGTTGAAGTGGGGAATGAAAATGCAGGGCTTTTGAGAAAACCGGAAAGTTTTGGACTCTGTTGCATCAAGGCGGACGTCACGGGGACTGAGCTTGGAGCGACTAAGTGGATATGAGTTGACAAAACACGATGAGTAGAGTGTATTGTGGGACTGATGGGTTTTGATCGGAGAATTTCTCTCGGATAGGAAACGATGCGTAAGCGTATCCAACGTGCTTTACGAGCGGCTAGCAAAGATAACCATCTTGTAACCAAGAGCTTTTTATTAGTGTTGCTCGAATTTTGTGCGTCAGTTGATGCTTCCTTCTCCTTCTCCTCCGTAGATTCCCATTCGGCAGCAATATCTCCCGTTTTCCAGTTAAATAATCCACGTCGAGCAGCTTCAGTTGAATCCATCCAAATATTCGGCTCACCTCCTGGCCTAACTGAAGTGATACGAAATACGCGACAGGAATAAGTCTCCTCTAAGGGTCCATAGAATCGCTCGTTTGGATCGACTGGTACAATCTGAATTATACCACGACCGGCAGCTTCTTCAGTTGTAATCCACTGATCAGCAGCATGATCCAAAATAACCGGTTCCCCAGTTTTCAGTTGAATCCAACCATTTTGCAACGCCTCATTCAAAGCGCACTGATCTTTACTGTTTGTATTTTGATAACTTGTAATACGTACCGGGCACCAGGTACAGGTGATTCTTTCGATCAGTAATAGGTTGCTTGAATCCGAAAAGTTTTCATCACTTGACTCGAGAGAGGAGTCCTCGGCAAGCTGAATCAGACCGCTTGCCAGTGCGGTGTCTATCGAAAGTCGATACCCGGTTTTACCGTCCACATAGAAATCACCATCCTCATCACAAACTAGCCAACCGAAATGGAGTGCTTTTTCTACTGGGACGAATTCGCGGGTGATTGGATTCATCACCTGTCTGATCGCTTTTATTCGCGGCACGTCCGGTCGATCGCGAATTTCCAACAGTTCATACTGAACTGTTCTTTGGCGTACGCGACAGCGGATCGCTTCCAAGTGAGTTCCGTACCTGCGGATACAGGGAAAATTAAATAAAATTTAGTGGATACCAACTAAATATTTTTTAGTTACGAGAAATGATCAAAATAGAAGATTAAATTAAGGAGGGCTTTATCCCCGGTTTCACTTCACCCATCCCTGAAAAAAAGTGTCGTAAATGAGAGGAACCCAATGTATTTCGTTCACACCCGAAAGGGCACTAACAATTCTTGAGACTCGATAAAACATTAGTCTATTGAAGTTTATAGCATTTTTAAAGTAGATTTGAAGCCATTGAAGTAAGCGAGTTGATTCCCGTCCACTGCTTACCAAATGTGTTCACTCGAACAACTTCAAGCCCCGTGTCTCGTGATCGATCACCGACAGAAGGTGGTCTACCCCGTATAAGCTACTAAGGAAGCAAGTGGTGACTTAAGTAGTTTCTATTTCCAGTATGTAACTTTAAACGTAGTCCGTCGGTAGGCCGGTGAGCAAGCACTGCGTCAACACGCAGGTAGGCAGTCACAAGCTGATGCAAGCGTTGCCAAAATGAGTACGTCGTCACGCTGGGCAGTCAGTCAGTCAATCAATACGGACATCTGATTCGCTGAGGCGGATGGATTTTGTAACAGAATAAGTCCGCATGACGTGCGTACGTGCGTTTGGTGGCAGGCCGCAACGGTCAGTCACGTGGTGTGCGGTAAATGATTCACTCGACTGCAGGCCACAACAGAAAAGGGATCCACCATTCCGTTAATCATACCCAGTGAGCGAGTTAAATCAATCGCAGAACAAGAGCAGCATCATCGTGACAACGAAACGCTAGGTCAGGAATGATGTAAACCGCAAACCGTGGTCTGCTTCCTCAAGTGGGATCGATACAATCTGTGAACGGTTCAAGAATAAATGACTAAGGAATCTTTTTCCCAAAGAACTGGGTCGTTTAAAATCATATACTTTGAAAAGTTTCATGTGAGCATTAGTAAAATAAGCATCAGTAACAATACACTGTTTTTTCGTCCATACCAATCCCACAACTTTACGCATTCTCTTTGTCATTTAGGCTCAACAGACCAGCATAAACACACTTTGCAGTGTGAGATCGGTGAGAGGACGAAGAATGCCTCGGAATAGTAGGTCTTACACTTCGATGCAAGAGGTTGCCCTCAGGAATCAATTGACTGTCAGTAACGGTGAACCCGCTTAGAGGATGCGACGTGGTGAGCCTGTTGAATAGATAGACAGTTTTCTTATGCTTCATTCCTTTGCATGTTTGCATTCATTCGTTCATGCACCACCTTTGGGATACGAATAGTGATCAGAAGACCGTTACGTAATAACGCGTATTGTTGTTGTTGTGCGTGTGTTTGGTTACCACCAGTGTAAAACCGTATCCGTCACGTANCATTGTATTTCGGTTGGTCAGTGGTTAACTCGTATATCGGTCAGCGACCAAGTGAATAAGTAGCAGCAACTGCGACAGACTGTAGGGATGACATTGTTGGTACATATACACATGGTTCCGGTTTGATGAAAGTGCGAATTCTCATGGCTGCAACATAGCGGAAGATTGACTGTAATATAAGTTAGCAGTATGTAAATGTGAGTAGCGTATTTCCCTACAACCGCTTATTCAGTTTAGTCTTTCAATACTACTTCCCATGACAC